GAGAAAACTGAGTTAAATTATATCAGTAACTGGCCCAAGGTGACACAGGGGTCAAATGAAAGGTGACCAGGATTCAAATCAAGCTCTTGAGTCTCCAAACCTCATGCTATGAGTGGTTTACAAAGAAGAACAACTTGTAAATAACCCAAATGACAACACAGATATTAATTGGATAAATTATAGTATATCCACACAAACTAATCATCACAAATGAAGCTACTTTTAGTCACATGAAAATGTGATCACAGACTGTTAAGTACAAAGAGATTATAGAAATTAAAATGTGATCATTTATAAGACACTGAAATATACTTTTATACGTATGTTTTCATTTTAAAAGTTATCAATGGATGGTAGGATTCAAAGCATTTTTCTTACTGATATTTATCTACAGGTACTCCAAAATGAGCTTATGTTACCTCAATGGATAGATGATTGGCAGATAGTCTGATAGACAAACACATAAGTATAGAATATATAAGTAGATGAAGACTTGATTTAAAGACCCAATTTTTAATTACAGAAGACTGTTAGCATATTTTCATTTCAAAATCTCTATGTAATTTAATAATATTTTATCATCTATAACATAGTGTGAGTTCAGAAAAATATGTGTATTTCTGTATCTCTATGAATATGTGTTTATAGGTATGTTATTATCTAAATGTATATATCTATATAAGAAGAATGAGATGATATGTATATATTTACATACACTGAGAAATAATATGACAAAGTAAATAATAATAAAATGGCAACAATTGAAGAATCTGGGTTAAGGACATATGGGACCTCCTTGTGCTGTTTGTTCAACTTCTCAAAATTTGAACTAACTCAAAATGAAATATATAAAGAATTAGCACATACAGGATATTTCAAACATGTCTGATATAAAATGTGGCCAGCTTAAAATGAGACCCTTCTCCATGACTTGTTCTCCCTGTCTAATACTTGAAGCAAAAGCCCCGTGATCACTTTGTACATTTTCCCATTTTAGTGCCTGTCACAAGAGGATTTGGAATTGAACTGTGTCTTTTCCAGATCACAGAAATATGCAAGAACACCGGTACTTTGTTTCACAAGGCCAACACACATACATGCCCCATATGAAGACCAAACCCAGGACCTTACAGTCTACCACTGAGATAAATCCCCAACCTCAACACAGTCATTGTAACATAATTTGACAAAACTAGCATGCAAAAAGCCATGGGGACATATGGATCATGAACACAGACACAAATGCATGAAGCAAAACATAAACTATTTCATTCTAGCCATGTCTTAAAACAAAGCATTTATAGGTAAGATTTATTTCAAAATTATGAGTTTAATTCAGCATGAGGAAATCTAAAGAAGTTACAAAACACTCCAAGTCTGATAAATGGCAAAGAGGAATTTTTCTTGAGCATGCATTTTTATAAACTAAGAACAGGAAGAAATATTAACATAACTATCAGGAAAAGAATACACATACACACATATGGTGTGGGGAGCGATTTGGAGGCATTACTACTCAGTGTAGAAATACAAAAATTATAACACTATCATTGCTGTTATTCAACATCATTCTGAAAAGTAGCCAACAGAGAATCAGAGAGGGAGGGAGAGAAGAAGGTAATAAGGGAGGATAATTTATAATTATTTTTTAACTTCATGATTAGCTATCTATTAGACTTCTAAAAGTCTTAAAGAAGCTACTAGAAAGTTATTGACAGGACAATTCTAATGAAATACAGTATAAATGTAACAAAGCTTTGCTTTACATCAGGTATCGGGGTTGTTAATCTTTGTCAATAAAAGTCAGAGAGTAAACATTTCAGGCTGTGTGGGCCATCTGTTCTCTCTAGCAACTATGCAACTTTACCCCTGCTGCACAAAACCAATTGATTATGCATAAATGAGTAGATGTGGCTGTGTTCCAGCAAAACCGTGTTCACAAAAATAAGAAGTGGACTGGCCAATTGGCTATAGTTTGTTGACGTCTACTTTACACTACACACAAAGACAAACAATAGGAAAAAGTTATTGCACACAGAAAGAAAATATTAAAACCTAGAAATAAACTTTCTAAAGAGTAATTTGATGATATGAGTCAAAACTTAAATTGTAAATACTCTTTCAATTCAGTAATTCCATTTCTGGAGACTTATATGAAGGATACAGTTAGATAAAGATATACAGATAAGGATATTTATTGCTATATTACCTGCTGATGTTATCCATGTCTACAGGATGTATTTATTAAAAATTGGAGTTACAGACAGTGGTGAGCCACTAAGTGGGTGTTGGGAACTGAACCTGGGTCCTCTGCAAGAGTAGCCAGTGCTTCTAACCACTGAGTCATCTCTCCAACCCCTCCCCCAAATTTTCATTTTTAAAGGAAATACAGCAAAGTAAAATTCCTGTGCTATGTTGGGCAATTTATTCTCATTTCTATGAATTTTGAAGCAGCCCATATGCAATATGTTCCTCAAAAAAATTAATGCTGATTATATTTTTTACATTAAGATACCCCAAGAATGTTCTTTAAATTATTATAATTACCTCATGCCCTGAGGATTTGAATGTTTTGCTATAAAAAGAGCATCTATCAAGCTGGGCGTGGTGGCACACACCTTTAGTCCCAGCACTTGGGAGGCAGAAGAAGGCAGATCTCTGTGAGTTCAAGGCCAGCCTGGTCTACAGAGTGAGTTCCAGGCCAGCTGGGGCTACAGGGAGACCCTGACTCAAAAAGATCAAAATAAAGAGCATCTATATGGAAATCTTGTATTTTTCTTATTCTTCAATCGCAGTCCTGCATGCATGAGTGTGTGTGTGTGTGTGCATGTGTGTGTGCGTGCATGCGTGTGTGTGTGTGTGTGGTGTGTATGCACACACATCTGTCTATCAAGGAAGAAAATCCAGAGAAGGAGAATAGAAAATGGTCAATAATAGTAGATGAAGGACCAACATAAATTTATGTCTTACAGAGAAACAAGTATTTGTCTATGAACTCACTCCTCATTTAATGGCTCTACAGTACAGGAATCTCATCTGTCAGGTTACAGGAAAATCCCTGACCTTCTCAAAAACTTTAATTTATAATTTACTAAGAGTAACTTTGAGCCTCCTAATAAAGAAAATGTAACTCATATGATTTATGTCTATTTGTAAAATTATATTTTCATTACAATTTAAACAGGTTTAGTTATTTTTCCAATGATTTCACATTATAAAAAATATATATATAAATTTATGCACATTTAATTTTCATGCACTTAAAACCTTGGAAGAATACAGCTGGAAAAGAAAGAAATATAATTATTCTTACTTCTCAAAATTCTTTGTTACTAAATGCAAGCTACATGACATCCTTCATGGTTGTCAAAAAGGAAAAAACACTATTTTTATCATTTCAAAACAATTAACTTATCTAGCTTTGAAATATTCCTACTTCCATCCTGAAATGGCTCACTCTTACAGCCTAACAAAAGAATTAGTTCCAATGCAAACATAATATTGTCCAGTAACAGACAGTTCCAGTTTTTGGCAGGGGAAGTTCAAGAACACATGAATATGTGTGTATATATGCACATGTGAGTATGTGTGTGTGTGAGCTTGTCGTTGCTAGAGAGGTCAGAGGAGAAAATTGAGTGTCCCTAGAGCTAACTTAGAAGTTAACAGAAACAATATTACATCCCTGGGTCAACCAGAGTTCTCAAAAGTGATGTCAAAAGACGATGAAGTGTTAAGTATATTTTATAAGCCATGAAAATGCAGAAGACAGTAAGGGAGAAATGGGACTTACCTTGAACACAACAGACAAATTTCGTTTTTGATCTTTTTGAGACAGGGTTTCCCTATAGTTGAGACAGGGTTTCCCTGTAGCCTCAGCTGGCCTGGAACTCTCTCTATGTAGACCAGGCTGCCCTTGAACTCACAGAGATCTGCCTGCCTCTGTCTCCCAAGTGCTGGGATTAAAGGCGTGTGCCACCGCACTCAGTGACAAATTTCTTTTTAAAAATATTTTGGGGTCTGGAGAGATGGCTAAGCAGTTAAGAGCACTGTCTGCTCTTGCAGAGGACCCGGGTTTGATTCCCAGCACCCACATGGCGGCTATGAACCGTCCTTAACTACAGTTCCAGGGGAATTCGAAACCTTCTTCTGACCTCTGTGGCACTGCATGACATGGGTGCACTCACTTAGATGTAGGAAATACACTCATACACATAAAATAAAAATAATAAATAAAATATTAGAAAAAAAAGAAAAAACATTTTGTTTATAATTTTCATTTCAGTGTATTGTCTGCATGTACATAAGTGTACCCATGTCCTGCAATGGTCAGAAGAAGGCATCAAATCCTCTGGAACTGGAGTTATGGATGGTCATTAGCTTCCATGTGGGTGCTGCGAATCAAACCTGGGTCCTCTTCAAGAGTAGTCAGTGCTCTTAACCACTGAGCCATCTTGCCAGCCCTGACAAATTTCTTGAAATAACATGTCATTAACTATTCCTGTACTCCCAAACTCAAGCAAATGCTGTTTAACCTTCTGCAATAGAACTCACCAATTGCATTATCAAATGAAAAACTAACAACCTACATTAGGATATCTGGGAAAATGAAATTCTACAAACTTCCTATCTTCTATTAAGAAAATGGGGGGGGGGTACTGAAGAAATTGCTCAGTGGTTAAGAACATTGACTGTTCTTGCAGAAGACCCGGGTTCAAATCCCAGCACCCACATGGCAGCTAACAACTGTCCACAGCTCCAGTTCTAGGGGATCCAACAGCTTCTTCTGTCCTCCGTGGGAGTTGCACGACAGGGGTGCACTTACCTATGCAGGCATAACACTCATACACATAAAATTAAAATAATAAAAAAGAAAATTTTTGGAAATGAATTTCTTACAGTTTGTAAAAACTGAGTAATTGTAATTCAAATACCAAGCTCTGTTTTTCTTGTCAAATATTGCTCTCTAGAAAGAGTATAACCAAACTCCAGTAGAAACTTACCCTTCAACTTGAGGTCAACATTGTGTCTCAGCCAAGGATAAACCCCATAGCTTGGCATATCTTCAGGAATTGGATTACTGTGTATCCAGCCATCACAAGCAAACCGGAAGAAATTATCACAAGGATCCACAGAAAGATTTACTTTACTCATTATGGCAGCGGCTATTTGAAAAGAAAATCACAGGATTAATGAAAAGCACTGGATGTTGTACACTGTTCTTTTCCAAATTAAACAAAAATTTCATATCAACTAGTTCCCAAACCTTGGCGTCAACACTTCCCCTCAAATGACTTTGAATTAATTAACCACACTATATAAAATGACTGCATTCAGAGTGGATAGGCGAAAGCTTAGTGAAATTATTGTTACTGGTTTTGTCAGATTGTCCCTAGTATCTGTGGGGTCTGGGACAGGAATATAAATGAAGTATATTGTCAAATGTTGGCAAAAAATAATTGTGACTCTTTCTTCCATCCTATGTGTCCCCCTGAAACCAGACTTAACTACTCTTCCCATGAAGTAATAGGGTCCATTTGTCCTGCCTCAAATTAATCTGGGCTTGCTTTATCACTTTCTTTGATCAACAGAAGTGACAAGAATGGCTTCTTGCAAGTTTCCAAGCTAAGCATTTAAAAAGTCTGGTTTCCTCCATGATGAATCCCTTCAAATGGAGTCCTAGGACCATCCTTTGAAGAAGTCTCCTGGCTAAGAGTAAGTCATATGGAGAAAAGTCAAACCAACACCAATTTCCACACTTGTGACTCTGGCCACCATGGATCATCAAGCCCAAATGAACCTTCAGCTAAAAGCATAGGCTCCTGGTAAGTATTGCAGAGAACCAGCTGTCAAACCCATGGATCCATAAGATCTGTTAAATCTTTCTTGCTTCACACCTCCAGGCTTTAGGGTCATTTGTTGTGCATTCATCATGTCTCTGATTATTATAAAGACATACTTGCAATATGTTTTCATAAGAGCTAGGAAATCTGTACATGAATTCCTGAGCCCCTTGACATGCAGGGTGACTCTCAGAGGAACAAAGCCCTAGAAGATCCCCACACAGGTCCTGAAAGGAAAGTTGGGTCAGGTGATTCTGGAGTACAGGAGAGAACTGTAGACTCACTTCCCCCAAAATCCTTGACTGAAGAGACACATGGCCAGAGGGCCAAAGCAAAATACTCTAAGTGAGGGGACAAAGTTTAGATGCAGAATTGAGTAGTCCTACAATTAACAGAAAAATAATGTAAGTCCATGTATAATTACATTTGGAAGATAGTTCATAGGCAGGATATTTGTACATAACTAACATATCTGGGAAGTTTTTTTCCCATGAGCTGTTTTGTTGTTTTTGGTTTTTTTTTTAAATGTAGTCTCATTCTCAAACTCTGGCTGGCCTAAACTCATAGAAATCCTCCTGTCTCAGCCCTCCAAGTGCTGTATTACAGATATGAGCTACCACATCTGGCCATATCCACAAACTTTAGAAAGAAAAACAAGAAGTTTCCAAAATTCCTAATACTTAATTCCAACTACTTTCCAGCTGAAACACAATGAAAGATTTTTCTTTTTAAAGCTTGTAGATATGGCCAGATGTGGTGGCTCACACCTGGCACAGAGATATGCACCAACTGATTGTTTTTAAGGCAGCCAACATTTTAATGACATTGGAAGGATGGCACTCTGGGCAATTTTCACACCTTAATTAATGCCAGAATACATTTCTGTTTGAAGTAATGAAAAATCCAATGAGCTTTAACTAAATAAGAATGAATTCCCCCCTCCCCAAAGTATATATTTTTATAAATTTAACAATAGATCTGGTGCTTTGGTTACATGGGCAGTTCTTCCAGGCTTAAAAATAAACCTATATATTTTGCTAGGCTACACTTTCTATGGAAATTTCAAACCACTGTTCAGCCTCATTGAAATGAATAGAAACACACTCTAATTTGAGTTTTTTTCCTGTTTTTTGAGACAGGATCTCACTAATCCTGGCTGGCCTTGAGTTCGATGTTTAAACCAGGCTGAACTTGAACTTACAGAGATCCTCCTGCCTTTACCTCCCACATGCTGGGATTACAGGAGTGAGCTAATATGCCCAGTACATAATTTCTATTGGGCTTCAAAATCCCCACAATTTTTAATCCCTACTCCTCAAAGTGAAAAAGTGGAAAAAAAAAACTTGGTTTAGAAGTATGATAAATTTCAAAGTGGCCTGATTCTTTTTCTTTTTCAGAACTAATACACTTGTCTCTTAACCTCATTTTTTTGGTTACTGCTACTATTTTATCATTTCTATTTAATATTCAAAAGTGCTAGGACACACAAAATCTTGCTTTCAGCTTGTATTTGTAGTTAGTCTGTGCAGCCACAGATGGAATCTGCTACGTGACACCTCAGGGACATGGATCACACAAGTCTCAGTCCCACACAATATTTATAGTCACACAGGGGAGTTTTCACACGTACTTTGACTCACACAAGCTCATTGCTTTTTGGAATCCTTCCCCAACTAACCCCTGCCCCCAACTCTCAAATGCATCCTCTCCATCTCCTGAGTTTTCTTGTAGGTATGAAGAAAACTGCAGAGTCAGCTCTGACCTCGGTCCTGATAGAAAAGTGAAAGAATATATCACTCATGCTGAATTTGGAAAGGAGCCCGTGGAGCAAGAAAATTCTTCCCTCTGCCTTGCAATTCATCATTCACCATTCACAGCTGGGCACAAGGCTGCACTTTCTGTGGGGAGCTGTGACTTCAAATTGCAAGGGACCATAGTTGTCAAGACACCAAAACTCCTTTCCCCCTACTCAGCTCCATGGAGAAAACTGAGAGTCTTGTTTAAATAAAAGGAATATGATTATGAGGGAAAGCTGGGAAAGTTCAGACTGCTATGTTCTCAAGTGTTACACATGAGGTTAATTATTGGCTGGACTCCCACTCACTTATATGATTCTGGTAGAGACAATCCATATACCCTCTGAGTTGTTTGGGTTTTTAATATTTTATTTATTTTTTATGTGTATATATGTTTTGCCTGCATGTATGTAAGTGCACCTACATCATACAATGCCCACGGAGGTCAGAAGAGGGTGTCGAATCCCCTGGAATTGGAGCTACCAACAGTTGTTAGCTGCCATGTGGGTGCTGGGAATAGAACCCAGGTCCTCTGCAAGAGTAGCCCGTACTCTTAACTGCTGAGCCATCTCTCCTGCCTCTGAGATTTTGGGTTTAATCAGGGCTCAAAAGAGAGTTTTATAAAGGTTTAAATCTTAGCATTTATATAAAAAGATCAAATCACTCATGTAAAACATTTTCTGTGTGCCAGAAACTATATCCTAAGTCCTATTAGAGCAACAAAGACCTCTCACAAACTGTAGAGTGAGAATACACATTTCACAATGGTTTCTGGAATTGGGCATTGTGAAGCAAGATCACAAATATTACCATCATTTTCTGTAATTCTCATGTAAAAGTTCAAAATATTCCCATTTCAAAGGCAATGAAACTACAGCTAAAAGTGGTTATGTATTTACCCCAGATCATGAGTCCTATAAGAGGCTAGATTGTATATGCTTCAAACCCAAGCCAGCCTATCTCTACTTATGCACTATCATTAGCAAACACTGTCCCTGTTCCTTTGTAACCTTTCATACAGTTCTCATTGTGAGAGAGGAGTTAGGCAGGACAAGAGAACATGGAGATGAGACATCAGAAACGATTGCTACCTGCTCAGAAATGGGACAGAAGTTGGTCAGATAGGTCCATCTCCTGGACTTTCAGTATAAGCACCTATGCCCAAACACTTTTCTCCCACCAGCACACAAGCTTTTGCATCAAGCTTGGCCTCAGTTTTCCTGCCATGTGTGCTCCACAGCTGTTCCACGGAGCCCTGGGCATCCTGAGGATCATGGTGCATTAAAGAGAGCTGAGGTCTTCGTGAGCAGCAAAACCAGTATTTTACTAACATCAGGAAGCTATTTACTAATGTGAAAATTCAAGGCAAAACACAGTAGGTGGCAGAAGGTGACATTATGAAACACCATTCTGTCCATTTTACTCAAGTATTATTATGATGTGTAATAAAATTCATGAAATAACTTTCCATCCCTAAACTTGCCTAAACTCAAATCGAACATTTATGGTTTGAATATTTCAGTTTTTCACATCTGGAAAAACTCTACCACAGCAAATGTACCAGGTTACATGGAATCTAAAATGTGTTATCTGACATATGACATGGTCCTTCACCTTACCCCATGACATACTCTCTCCACTGGTTAAGTCTGTAGGCCAATTTGACTCCTGTATATCTATGCCCTAACTTTGGGCATGATTTTATAGCCACAGCACAACTAAGGCGACTTTAAGCATGAATCTTCACCTTGGTGCCCCCACTGATACATGGTCTTGTCACCCCCAAAGAAGTTTGGCTTGCAGTACAGAACAGAAAGACCCAAGGGGATTCCAGGTGACAGCAAAAGCATGGATTTACACGGTATCCCTGCTTAGAGGCAAGCAGGCCACAGCCGCTATACAGAAAGTACACAAGGTCTGCTTAAGATAAATAGTAATCTATCACCTGTTGAGCCACAGGAGGTCCATGGTCTCTGTGGGCCTTAAGAGAGGCCGCTGTGCCTTCCAAGCCCTTTCCTTAGTTCCTTATCATGAAGCTTGAAATATCACAGAGCTGGATTTTTGCAAAGAAAAAGGAAAATGGGAAACCTAAGCCCCACTACTTCACACCAAACCTTGAAAGTAAACTTAAAATGTCCTCAAAATTGCATTTCTTATTTGGTCAACCTCAAGCAAACAGAATACTAAAAATACTACCTGTTTTCTCTTCCACTCCCCAAGGTACCAAAATTATAACTTGACACAGGGTGGAAAACACTTACCAGCTTCGATGCACTCTGGCTTCAGGCAGTACTCCTGTTTAGCTCGGAAACTTAGGAGACCTTGACTCACTGAAAAAAAACAGACCAAAATAAATGATTGTCTTGTAGCAGACCACCATCGACTCAACCACCATTTGGGCACATGAGCAACACATCTGGTATCAGTTCATGCTTCTCAGTATCAACCTGGTCATCAAAAATCCAGCTGGCTCAAAGTCCCAGAATCACCTTGGTCAATAACTGTGTGGCCTTGCTAAGACTCATGACTTCTCTGAAACCCAGTTCTCTCTTATGGAAGAGGAATAGATTGAATGGATAAAACTGGAGCAGTGCCAATGAGAATCTGGTCCCCAGAACCACAGCAGCACCTGGGAACTCACTAGAGATGCATATTTCACTCCAGATCTCCTGCCTCAGAAACTCTAGAGGTGAGGCACATAGCCATTGGTTTCTTTTTGTTTTGGGTGCCAGAAACTGAACCCAGAGGTTCTCACAGACTGATCGGGCTGTACTACTTACACACACACACACACACACACACACACACACACACACACCTGTGTCAATCAAATCCTGCAGCTGATGCTGATTTTAGGTGTGAGTACCACTGTGCTTTAAGTTTCATATTTTTATTCTGTATAACTACACGCTCATCTTAGAGATGGAGAAATTGAAACTTTTAAACTATGTCATTTGGAACAATGCTAGAATAGAATTACAAATCTAGTACGTGTGGCATTTAAAGTTGTAGTTCTTGTCTAAACTACCCATATAGATACAACCAAAAGAGGTAGGGAAGAAGTGAAAAACTTATTGTTCACAACTCAGTCATCGGTCAACAACTTTTGTCTGCTAGCCCCGGATACTACACACAGTCCTCCGACCAGGTCCAGCCTAGTTATATGCACTTTTGAACTTTTGAGAACTAAGATTCCAGCTGCTCCTCACCTCAAACAAACAAAGCTGATCCTGGGTTTCAATATCAGCAACACACACACACACACAAATACATAAATAAATTGCTGTATCATTGAAATGTTTTTCACCAATGTTTAATTTTTCTCAACTGGCTGGCAACATCACCTATCAGAGGCGTTCCTTCTTTTGACCTTGAAATATGAGACTGTCATCAACAAAGTTCATGTTCAATAACTGTGCAGTCAAGTTACAAAGTAAAAATCATTTTTAAAGGATCATAATGTTTTAAGTAAGTTCATGGTTTTGTACTGGGCTAACCCATTCATGCCTATATTTGGCTGCATGTGGTATTCAGACTGTAGGTTAGGTGAGTATTTCTGCCAAAGTCTAAAAGAACACACTATTTGTAAACTCCATGTAGAATCTGGGCATTAGCACATGTGAATTTCAGATCCGAAACTATTTGAAATGTGTTTTTTTCCCTCTATAACTGTGGAAGTTATGAGAAATTCAGCATTGTTGTTGTCTATGAGCTGAAACAATGAATCTTTGAAAATATGATCATGAAGAGATGGCCCATGGAGGGTGAGTGGAGCCCAATCAATGCCATTCATAGCATCCTCAGCAGAGAAGCAGCATCAGAAAGCTAGAGAGTGCTATGTCTCTGCTAGAGATGCAGACCTGCAGATCACCTGCCACTGTGGTGAGTCCTATTATTTATGCACCCACATGCTAAGAGGAGCCTGCCTTGTCTTTGTTCTTTTCTCTGCTCCCATCCAGCAACAGCCTTTTTAGCCAGTCTTACATTATAGATTCAAGAAGCCAGCCTACAGAAAACTCGAGCCTATTTTCAAGAAAAGAAATTTCTTCACATAAAAGGGATGTTTTGATTTCTTTAAAACAAGTAAAAATATATAGGCAGCATAAAGGTTAGTATGAGATACTCTGGTGCGCCTTGGTGGTAGCACCATGGGGAAAAGTTTTTCCCTTCAGTCAATTTTAATATATTTACCACATGCTTTTTTAATGAGTAAGTGATATTTTTATAATGGAAATATATATCTTAATATAAAATGATATTTTTATTCTAGATAATACTTTCTTGATACTAGCTTTATTTTTAAAATATAGTTTATAAAATTGTTAAAAACTAACACTGGGCGTGGTGGCACATGCCTGTAGTCCTAGCACTTGGGAGGCAGAGGCAGGCGGATCTCTGTGAGCTCGAGGCCAACCTGGTCTACGTAGTGAGCTCCAGGTCAGCTGGGGCTACAGGGAGACCCTGTCTCAAAAAGATCAAAAAAAGTTGGGCGTAGTGGTACACGCCTTTAATCCCAGCACTCCAGAGGTAGAGGCAGGTGGACCTCTGTGAGTTGGAGCCCAGCCTGGTCTACATAGTAAGTTCCAGGACAGCTGGGGCTACAGGGAAACCCTATCTTAAAAAGACAAAAAAAAAAAAAAGACAAGGTAGAGGCAGGAGGATCAGGAGTTCAAGACCAGACTTGGCTACATTGCAGGGTCCAAGGAAGAATTTACTGGGCTTACAGTTCCAGAGGGAGAATCCATAATGGCTGGTAGGGATGGCTGGAGGTAGCTGGAGCAGAAAGCTGAGTACTCACCTTCAAGCAGGCAAAAGAAGCAGAGGGAGTTCCTTTTTAAAAATTTATTATTTTTATTTTTTATCTGTATAAGTGCACATATATAAGTGCATCCATGTCGCACAATGCCCTCGGAGGTCAGAAGAGGGCGTCGGATTCATCTGGAATTGGAGTTACGGACGATTGTTAGCCACCATGTGGGTGCTGGGAATCGAACTCCAAACCTCAGTCAGTGCTCTGAACCTCTGAACTACCTGGGAATCCATCTCTCCCTCCCACCCCGCCCTGCTGTTTTTGGTCTTTTTGAGACAGGGTCTCCCTGTAGCCCCAGCTGTCCTGGAACTTACTATGTAGACCAGGCTGGCCTTGAACTCACAGAGATCTGCCTGCTTCTGCCTCCCAAGTGCTGGGATTAAAGGCGGCGTCACCATGCCAGTCTCGGAGTCCCTTCTTAAAGAAGCCTTAAGAAGCCTTTGTGTGGAGCTGTGAAAGGTGAAGCCCGATTGTCAATGGAGACCCCACAGTGTTGGAGATGTCAGAGCTGTGAAACATCTTCTAAGAAGAGTGCATACAGGAAGTGGCACAAGCCCAAGAGAGATGTATGTTGCACATAATAAAGCTGGAGGGACTGAGCCATCTAAGCCCTTTAGAAGTTACACTCATTAGACATAGAGCTACTGGATTTGGTGTTCAACCTGCTGTTTTTCCAATATTGCTTTGATCTGGTATCTCTTCAATATGCCCTCATTCCTCCCTTCTGGAATGAGAATGTGTATTTGATTCCATTGTGTCTTGGAAGTAAGCAATTTGCTTTTTTATTTTACCAGCAATTACAGGTAAGAGATTACCTTGACTCTCCTTAGACACTTTGCACTTTTGAACAGTATTGAGATGGTTAAGGACTATGGGGACTTTTGAAGTTGAAGTAAATGCATTTTACATTATGATATGGCTATGAGCCTATGAGGGCCAGGGAGTAGAATGAGGTGGTTTGAATGAATGCCTCCCTCATAGGCTCCAATTATTTGAACACTTTGTCCCCAGTTGGTAGCACTGTTTTTGGAAGGTAGGAGGTGCAACCTTGGTAAAGGAAGTACATCACTGGGGGTGGGCTTTGAGAATATATAGTCATGTATATAGTCATGCTCACTTCTGGTCTGTCTCCCTCTGCTTTCTTTGCCTGTTTGAAGATGTGAACACTCGGCTTTCTGCTCTGGCTGTCTCCTGCCATGCCTCCCTGCCATGATGGACTCTTATCCCTCTGGAACCAGAAGCCCAAAGTTCTTCCTTGTATGAGTTGCCTTGGTCATGCTGTTTTATCACAGCAACAGAAAAAAATAACTAAAATGAGGATCAACAAGTCCGAATAAGGGAAAGGTGTGAATGAATGAAACAGAGACAATAAAGAAAATATTTTAATATAAAAATTTAAACATCTCATTTTACTGGTTAGAGACTCGAAAGAAGTTAAAAAGCAGTTTGGCTTCTCATTTTAGAATCCCCACAGGATGCAGTAGAGATCATATCAAGAGTGTGAGAGTGAAGGCTTAGAACATAGCTCAGTGGTTGAGCACTTGCAAAGTCCTGAGTTCCATCCCCAGCACTGAAAAATAAAATAAAATGCACAAGACCAACCATATAGCAGGGGTTGTTATCATTTAAGTACTGACTACAACCCACAGGCCAGATGCAGGCCACTGCCTGCTTCTATTTCCATGAATAACCTTATATTTTTGATAGTTGGAAAAAATCAAAAGAAGTATAATATTTCATGATTAAGGAAAGTATATTAAATTCAAATTTCAGTGTCCAGAAATCATATCTTCTTCCTGACTTCCTTACATGTCCATTTGTGTATATTTTGTCTGTGGATACTTTTGTGCTACAATCGAACAGTCCTTCAATAAAGACTATGTACGCATGGCCATGGTGCAAAGAATATTTACTACCATCTTGCCTTAACAGAAAAAGCTTGCCAACCACTGCATCTGAAAAAAGATAGTGACAAGGAAGGAGAAAGGAAGAACAAAAATAAAGAAAAATTGAAAACAAATTGGGTGTAGGTATATAGTTATACTCAGTGTTTTAAAATCCCCTAACTCATCTGAAACAACCCTGAGGGCACTGGCAACCATTCTATCTGCAGAGGTATGAAAGTTTAGAAGACACTTAAAGACAAAGTGGAGGAAAGGTAGGATGCTAGAAACTCCAGGCTTATGGCTGAATGAATAGGTAGAAAAATATACTGCAAAGTCAAACAGAAAGCACGTTCTTCCATGGAAGACCCTATCTAGAATATTGTTGGGAAGAACATTGCCTTGCAGGCATCTAGCAAGGTAGATGCAGAGTTGAGGGGTGGGATGGTAGAGCCTGGGGGACAGACAGTCAAGAAAAGCGAGTGGAAGAGATGAGGCTAAAATAGTACTGAAATATTTGACCAAAAAATAAAAGGGTTCCTAGATGGGTATGGTGGTGCAAACCTGTAATTTCAGAGCTCAGGGGGTAGAGGCAGGAGTTCAAAACAAGTTCAAGGTCAGCCTGGTCTATATATTGAGTTCTAGGCCAGCCAGGGATACAGAGCAAGACCTTGATCGTAAGTAAGTAGTTAAGTAAGTAAGTAAGTAAATAAATAAATAAATAAATAAATAAATAAATTCTTGAGTGTAGACCCGCAAATGGACATACTCTGAAACAATGCTTCTCAAACTTGCACAAGCAAATGAATCCCCTGAAGTCTTGTGAGAACGGAAACTGTGAAACAGTAGTGGAGTGAAGTTCAAGCTCCCAAGTGACGCTGATGCTACTGGTTAGAGAACTGCACTAAGTTGCAAAAGTAGAGTGAGGCCACACCCTTAGCAAGCCTATTTATTGTCAAGCATCATTAGAGTTCCTCCTAGAGATTCAAGGTGAGAACCAGATTACTGGTCAGCCACACTAGGAAGTTACCTTCTATCCTGATCAGGCCTCTTTACCTATAATAGCATTGCTTGGTTTAGTGAATTTTAGTGTACCCCAAAACTGTAGTGTTTGTGCCAGAGAATCATTTTCTCTTAAGGAACAAAGATTTGCTGTCACGGACAATCTACTATGCCATGGCCTCCGAACAGAATGATCATTAAAGTGGAGATGGAAAAACCTGTGAGCACTGTTCACATTGACGAAAAGGACACATATTTTGACACACATGATGATCACTTAGATTTGGAAGTCTGGAAGTATTTGTAAAACCTAACCCCATAGTCACTTCCCACAACATGCATAGTCCTTTGGCATGCAATAGAACTTCTCCTCCGGTTTTGAATTTCAGGAGAAAAAAAACTGTCTTAACTGTTGAGAAACACCACGACAGCTTTAGAGCCACAAACTCAGTCACAGGAGTAGGAGGTGCAGCTTCACCAGAAAGCAATAAAGTCATCTAATTTCCAAAATCTTCAGCCACAGAAAACATGGAAAGACGGTTTGCTCATTTTAGCAGGGCTCTCAACCACACAAGCCTAACTCTTTTAAAGTTTAATTGCTGGTTTTCCCTTGCCAAAATAAACATGGCCTCCTGCATCCTGCATATGCCAAAGAATGTTTCTAGGCTTGCTGCATTTCAAAGTGCACCTAGAATCTCCTAAGTATAGGGCTTATTTCTAGGTAATATTCAAGCTAATAAAATACTATGAGTTATATGAGAAAAAAATGTTAAAGGTTAATAGCCAAAGGCTCTGAAAACCAAAAATTTTAAGACATCCCTCACCCTTTTCCAATAGAGTTGATCCTTTTGCCTAGGAATATGCTTTTGTTACCACATGCTCTCTGGGTACATCATTCTCACCATGAGTCATTAAAATAATTGAATCTCAGTATCTTTCAGATCTTGAAAGGAAAACCTCTGATTTCTTTCATGTTCATTTCTAAATGTATTAGTAAGGTGCAGTTAACCACTGCAATCCATCAAAACCATTGGACTAAAAGAAAAAGTCTCTAAGAACCCCACTAAAGGTACATTTTATTTTTTAATATTTTATTTATTATTGTTATTTTATGTGTATGAGTGTATTACCTGCATGTGTGTAAGTACACCTGTGTTGTGCAATGCCCGAGGAGGTCAGAAGAGGGTGTTGGATCCCCTGGAACTGGAGTTACAGACAGTTGTTAGCTACCATGCGGGTGCTGGGAATCAAACCCGGGTCCTTTACAAGAGCAATTGGTGCTCTTAACCACTGAGCCATCGCTCCAGTCCCCAAAGGTGCATTTTAAAGAATTAATTTCTACTTTGTGAATTGTATTTTGGAATTTGTTCAAGCAAACAATAACAAAAGTCAAATGAAAAAATCCAGTGTGGTTCTTTCCTTCCCTCACAAAATAACTGCATATATCTAACTATGAATTCATTGCTAAACTCAATTAGCAAAACGCAATACATATTTTTTTTCTCAGTGCATTGAATCCACCAGTCACTGAAAACCATATGTACATTTAGTACAAAAGAAAAACCTTCCTTTCCATTTTCATATCAGATTGAAACTGAGCATGCATCACCATTTCTTAACACAAGCAGTCATCCACCTGCATTATAACAAGGTTTTCTAGAATACAGCATCAAGAAGCTTCTGGACAGGTACTCAGTTCTTCTGGCCTCCAGAGCTCTACTTACCTAGAAAGAGGATCGTGCCCAGCACCAGGGTGCCACCAACAAACACTGCCAGGGCAATTCGAATGCCTCGGTTGGTCCCCTTTCCAGTCTCCATGCTGCTCCCCGTCTCTGCTTCCATCAGAAGGGCCAGAGAGAACACTCAGGAAGAAAGTCACTTTCTGTAGTTTGGTAGCTGGTCTCAAGAGTTTGTCAGGCGTTGACATCCAAGACTCTCTTGCTGTCTGCTAATGGACAGCTTTAAAAATTCCTGTCAGGAAACCTCCCCTCACCACCCTTTCTCAAATAATGCTTCACAAATGGAATAAAAGAAATTTGAAATATTGGTTGCCTTGGCTCTCCCTCGATTAGACAAAACAAACAGCGGTTGCTTTATCTTGGTGCTCTCCTCAGCAAAGTCCTTCTCAACCGATTGTTTGGCAAGCTCTTCCTTCAAGCTTTCCGAGTATACATGTTTTACTAGGTTGCTGCACAGATGTTTTAGCAATTTAAATGTATAGTCACTTGGGGAGAAAAAAAAATTGCCTTTATCAAAACTGGATTCTCAACCTCCCCCTAACCATGATAAGTTAGGTGGTGAGGACACTGCACACCTACTTCAAGATCTCAATTAGTCATGTAATTCTGCTGTAATAATCATTCTCCTTGCCTGAAGTGTCTTAGTCAAAGTTACTCTTGCTGTGTGTGAGTCCCTTTTTAAAGACGTCTAAGAGTTCCTAGGATATCCTGGAGCACTTTATTTTAGGAACTTTGTGTATGACAGCATGTGCCAAAAATCAGAGTCATAGTCCAGTGCAGTGCAAAGTAGCAATTAAGACAACCTACAGAGGCTGATGGTTTGGACTGGAACTTTTTTTAAGAAAGAAGAAAAATCACTTCCTCTTTGTGGTGCTAAGAATTTTACAAAAGGCAGCTAAGTATATGAATTAAGCTTATTAGCAACCACAAAAGACACAGTAAAAGATTTTTTTTCCCTGCATGCTTTGATGAGCACTGCACCCATGTATTTTGTTCTCTAGTTCCTCCAAAGCAGCCACTGGTATGTTTTTGTGTTTCTTTTAAGTGTTTATTTCAGCAGATTCCCCAGAATGAATTCAGACTCATTTTGGTTTCACTAGAAAGACTGATTCATCACAGGTATTTGATTTCTTTGATTACGATAAAATTGAAACTATGAAAAGCTGCTCTCTTCGTGGGGAATGACAATTGACATTTCAATATTATTGAGATGATTTGGATTTTATTACTTAATGATACAGATGTCATTAATTCACAACATAGTTACTACCTACCTGTTCCTGTCTAGCTGGAGGCCATAAGATAGTGGAAGTGTAGGAGGAGAATTCAAGACCAAAACTTGTGCACATAGCTTTGGTAGTAACACCAGAGCTCAGCAGGTGCCAGTGAATGCAATACAACATGACTGTACATTCATCCTCCTATCTAGCTAGGCTTGGTCAGGCCTTAATCCTCCAGCATGGGATTCTCCCAAGTTTAGAAACATATTCCATAACACACCCTAACCATACTTTCTGCTTGTTTCATGTCACCACAAACTTAGATGTACAAGCCTTGACTGAGTTATCATAGCATGTTGTAGCTCTTCTGTGTTCATTGGTTGTGATGTTACTTCACTGTTGTTATCTGTTGCTGCTACATAAAGTAGTCCTTTGTCCCCTAGCACAGGGTTTTCCCCAGTGTTTGTTCTTGGTTCCATAGCACATCTTAGAATGGTGAGCTTCATGAGATAAGGATCACGTCTATGATTTTCAGTGCTATAGCTCCAGCAACAACAGTTCCTTGCCCAAGCACAGTAAAGAGGGAAAGAAAAATAAGGAAAATTACACAAGTTGTGCTTAGTTTTTTTTTTTTTTTTTTTGGTTTTTTTTTTCATTGCGGCTTTAGAGCCCCAACTGGCCTGGTACTCGCTATGTAGACCAGGCTGGCCTCTATCTCACAGAAATCCACCGCCTCTGCCTCGATCACTGAGACTAAAGGCATGTGCCACCATGCCTGCCTACGAATGAGCTCATTGTGTATATACAGTGATTTAAGATTACTTGAGGAAGTACCCTACACTGTTGCTTGGGTCTAGTAAAAGCTTAGTGCTCTTATGTTAAACATGCAAACTGTTTTTTCCAAGTGATCCTATGTCTCTAATTTGATGTCATGTTTCTTAGGACAAGAACCCTTCCTTAGTTTACAGCAGAGTTTCTTGGTCTGGGAACTGTTAATATTTTGGGTCAATTCATTAAATTACACAAGTTGTGCTTTGTTTTTTTTTTTTTTTTTGGTTTTTTTTTCATTGCGGCTTTAGGAACACACCACTTCCTTGGAGGGGAGGGGCTTCTAAACACTCTGCTGATGATACTTTACATGGTATATCAGTTACTTCTCTGCTGCTGTGATAAAAAAAAAAATCATGACCTAAAAAAAAAAATCATGACTAAAGCAACTTATGGAAGGAAGAGTTTATTTGGGCTTATGGTTCCAGAAGGACAAGGCTCCATCATGGCAGGGGAGGCATGGCAGGAGGCAGTTGGAACTGAAGGCTGAGTGCTCACATCTTTCATAGATGTATACCCATAGGAAGCAGAGAGAGAGAGACTACAAGTGTGACCAAGTTATAAACTGTCAAAGCCCACCCCTAGTAGCATACTTCCTCCAGCAAGGTCATACCTCCTGGAGGTTCCATGACCTTCCCCAAACAGCACCACTAGTGAATCAAGTGTGCAAATGCTTGGAGCCTACAGGGTCAATCTCGTTCAAATCACTACCATGGGCACAGCCCTTTTGTTTTAATCTCCTAGCAAACATATACATATGACAGAAAACACATTTCTAGCTCCAAGATCAAAGAATGGCTTCAGGTGGCTGGGACTAGACACTGAAAGATAGAGAAATGGGATCATTGTGAGACACTGTGTGTCAGCAGCTTGATAATGCTTCCTCTGCACAGGGGAGCACATAATCACCCAAGCATGACAATGGGGACCATTTCCTCCCTCTGTCCTCCTCCACCCTTCATACCTTTCAGGATCCTGACTGACATGGAATGGTAACTGTGCGGTGCCATTGGAATAGCCTTCATCTGCCTTGGACTGGTGACTCCCCAGAGGTGAGGGAAATTTGAGAATTTCCGCTAAATTCTACCCATCTATTGCTGATGGACAGGAATTCATTTCTAAACATTCAGCAGCTGAGTAAAACAACATTAAGCAAAAAAAAGTACCTACTTCTAGTAATAGAAAAATTGATGTTTTCCATTTCAAACCAAGCAAAGAAAAAAATTGCATCAATTTATGAGAATAAGTCTATGGAAGTAAAAAAAAAACTCTCAAAATGTTAAAAATAGCTTTTTCATATAATTTAATGTAATGAATTTTTTTACTCACCAAAGAAATAAAGGAACATTTGAGAGCGGGTGGCGGGCTTGATAGAGGAAAGGGTATGGGTGAATCATTCATCATAACATACATTCTTCATTATATGCCATTTTCTGCATTAGTTTCCCAACCTTTGGGGAGATGGTGATTATCTAGCACTGAAAATAAACTGCACTTAAAAATAAATTAGGACAAAAAAAACCCTTAGGGCAAAATAAAAAAGTTCAAGGTACAGATAAATAATGAGTGTTCAAAAAGGGCCAAAGTAGAGGGCAGTAAAAGAGAGCACAGACATGAGCCTAATCTGGTCCACCCCCTATTTCTATAAATAAAGTTTTATTGGATCACCTATGACTGCATTCATGCTACAAGGTCAAAGTTATGTAGTTTTGTGGCAGACATTTTAGCCTGTGAAGTTTAGAATATTTTACTCTCTGGCTCATTCCAAACAAAAAAGTTTATTGACTTCTGAATTGAAAAGATGTTACTTCTTCAAATGACCACTGCGATATATGTCCACAAAGCCACATATTCTTCCACCTGCAACTCAAAATTGTCCCAATCTACTTTTTTGCAATAGAAACTATTGTGTCAAAGAAATTGATGAATCCATCTTTGCCCGAAACTCTAATATTGAGACCATTTAATAATATTCTTGCCAGGCATGGTGGCATATGCCTTTAATCCCAGCACATGAGAGGCAGAGGCAGGCAGATCTCTGTGAGTTTGAGGCCAGCCTGGTCTACTTGGTGAGTTCCAGGCCAGCTGGGGCTACAGGGAGAACCTGTCTCAAAAAGACCAAAAAAAATATATCATTCTTTATGTTTGCAAGCGAAAAGTCATTTTTTTTTCAGGGGATGGGGAGAAAAGCATTGTCCAAAAGGACTACTTCTCCAGAGCTGTGAAAATAAATATAAGTGGCAAGTCATTGTGTAAGGCAATTTGTTGATAGTGTGAGATATACCCACTCAATTCTTTCAAATAAAAACATTCAGGACCATGTTGAGCCTAAACTGCAATCAGTTAGTCAATCAAAAAAAAAAAAAAAAGTTCCTGAAACTTTCTTGTGCAGTCTTGTGAGGGAAAACCAGGAAACCAAGCTGGAAGTTTAGGGGATGTTCAACTGGACGTAGGAATGGAAATGCCTGAAACCTTTGGCAATTTAGCCACAGAACCCTCCTTTGAGATGAGGCTTGCCTGAACACTTCCCACCTGCCCTTTAGGACACACAAGTAAGATTATTTGTTTTAGCTGCTAGTGGTGGTGCATGCTAGTAATCCCAGGACTCAGGAGGTAGAAACAGGAAGAGGATCAGGAGTTCAAGGTCATTCTTGACTACCTAGTGAGTTTGCGGTCAGCTTGGGCTCTGTGAATCACTGCCTCAGTAAATAAATAAATGATTCTTGCTTCTGAGATAACTAAATCCAGTGAGTTCAGCCCAAACTGCCAAACTTGCCAGATTGACAGCTGAAGGCTGTCTATGTGCTAGACAGGAGTAAACCTGATCATTGTTTGTCTCCAGTTTCAAGTAATAAAATCTCCTGTGGGTCATTAATTTCAGTGAGAAGGAAATGATTCAAATGCTGAAAAATTTCAGCCAGCCACTATGAGGAGGCGGGGTTGATGGGGAAAGAAGAGAGCAAAACAGAAGAGCTAACTGGCTAAAAAAAAGCTCCAACTTGGGGCTGGAGAGATGCCTCAGTATTTAAGAACACTGGTTGTTCTTGCAGAAGATCCGGGTTCGAATCCCAGAACCCACATGGCAGCTAACAACTGTCTGTAACTCCAATCCCAGGGGATCTGATAGTCTCTCCTGATCTCCGAGGGCACTGCATGACACAGGTGC